TCGCCTCAGCTGCAAGCAGTTCCTTCTCGAGGAGGGCAATGGTGAGTTCAGTGGGGGAGCGAGAGAGGAAGTGGTCCCTGACTGTGCGCAGGGAGTCGGGGAGGCGGGTGACTATGTGGTAGAGAGTGATCCAGAGCGGGGGGGGGGTTGCTAGTGAGAAACTCGGCAGGCATAGCAGCGCGAAAGCGGGCCTCACTGGTCTTAAGGTGGGTGATGAGGTCAGCAACTGTCTGAAAGGAGGCCAGGTCGGGGAACAGGTAGGGGAGAGTGAGGCGGCCTAGTGTGGCAGAAGCGGGGGAGGAGTAGCGAGCGACTACAGCAGTGTACAGGTCCTTAGCAGTTTTGTGCTGGCCAAAGTGCTCGCGCTCGTCGATCGGTAGGGAGTTACGAATAGCGAAGCGAGCGTGGGCGTCACGAGTCTGCCACTGTGAGCGCTGAGTGCTGTCAGCAGTGGTAGGAGGGGCAGTAGCGTTGCCTAGGGCGTGATCGTACAGTGAAATGTCCTCCTTAGCAGTGAGCTGTAGAAAGAGGTGGAGGTCATCGAGCCAGGTTTCGAACTTCACTGGACGGCCCTCAGTATCGAAAGTAAGTACAGTAGGAGTAGCCATAGCGGCAGTAGCAGTAGCGGTAGAAACAGTAAGAATGAGGCCGCAGGGAAGCTGTGGGCGGTGTCAACGGGGCCGGCAGCAGCTGATGCTCACGGGCGGCAGCGGCAGTGGGCGCAGTAGCGGCGGCTGCAGCGGGAGCGAGTGCAGCAGCGGCAGCGGTAGCAGGCGCAACAGTAGCGCACGGGCGGTAGCGGCCGCGGCGCACGAGCGGGAGCGGCTGCGGGCGACACATAGGCGGTAGCTGCGGCGGCGGGCCCGTGGTAGCGGCAGCTGCAGCGGGCGACGAGCGGGCGGCAGCTGCAGCGGGCGACGAGCGGGCGGCAGCAGCAGCGGGCGACGAGCAGGCGGCAGCTGCAGCGGGCGACGAGCGGGCGGCAGCAGCAGCGGGCGACGAGCGGGCGGCAGCTGCAGCGGGCGACGAGCGGGCGGCAGCTGCAGCGGGCGACGAGCGGGCGGCAGCTGCAGCGGGCGACGAGCGGGCGGCAGCAGCAGCGGGCGACGAGCAGGCGGCAGCTGCAGCGGGCGACGAGCGGGCAGCAGCTGCAGCGGGCGACGAGCGACGGGCGCTGCAGCGGACGGGCGGCAATGTGCAGGACAGGCCGCACATCGAGAGGGGACTCATCTTCTTGCTCCCACAGTTTCTCCTCCTCCTCACTTGCCCTCTGTGATAGCCTCTAGCTTTGCTTATAATTGTGAACTATTGCTCTGTCTGCTTGTTATGTTGATTGTACCCCACTTTGACTATGGGGGTGTGTCAGAATGTGATGGTTGTCTAGCCTGCAGTGGGGTACTCTATAGCGAGTACAGCCCTTCTAGGGTTTGCATATATGTATCCCTATGCTTGTTAGTCAACACCCTTCTTGCCTGTTTCTCGTTTTGGCCTAGCATTTTGACACCGAATAGCCCTGAATTCGGTGCACGCAACCTAGCTCGGTGCTATAACTATAATAAAATATAGGAAAGCACCTAGCCTAGGAATTCAAGCAATTCATGCATGCATAAAATAAACCTAAGCTAGAAGTAGCATAATAAAGCATGCATAGCTGGCATAAGCCGTCGTACTCTCACAAAGGGGAAGACAGGGGTTGGGAGCCTTTCAATCGAACTTGTTCGGATCGCATTCGCGCGTGTTTGGGCAACATGCTTGCATTCATATGTGGGAGCAGACGAGTTGAATAATGTGTTGACTGTTGCCCCCTCCCATTCCCACTCCCCCGCAGTTCTTCAAGCAATGGTACGCAATCACTGAAGCAGGCGAGTTTCATAGATACAATCACATGTGGGAGCAAGCGAACCTGAACGCCTTAGTCCGTCAGGAGCAGTAGAAGGGGAAGGTGATTATAGTCCCTTACAGCGAGCTGACAGGGCCCAAAGGGGCAATGGTTCGGCACGTGTGGAGTGATTTACCTGAAGGTACACACCACAAGGTGTCAATGGAAGCCCTGCAGGAGATCATGGGGTTACCGCAGTGAAGGGTGTGCGCTTGTTAGAGGAGTGCATATGCCGAGCTGACAGGCCCCAACGGAGCAATGCTTCGGCATGTGTAAAGTGTGGAGTAATTTACCTGAAGGTGCACATCACAAGGTGTGAATGGAGGCTCTACAGGAGATCATGGGGTTACTGCAGTAAGGGAGCGCTTTTGAGAATTCTGAAATGCAACTCCAGAGTGGTTTGCCTGAAGGTACACATCACAAGGTGTCAATGGAGGCTCTGCAGGAGATCATGGGGTTACCGCAGTGAAGGGTGTGAGCTTGCTAGTGGAGTGCATATGCCGAGCTGACAGGCCCCAACGGGGCAATGCTTCGGCATGTGTAAAGTGTGGAGTAATTTACCTGAAGGTGCACATCACAAGGTGTCAATGGAGGCTTTGCAGGAGATCATGGGGTTACCACAGTAAGTTTAAACACCATTGCTCGTCAGAAGGAGCAGTGGAAAGGGAGAGTGATCGTGGTGCTGTGCGCCAAGCTGACAGGCCCCAATGGAGCAGTGATTCGGCACACGTGGAGTGATCTGCCCGAGGGGTCACATCCCAAGGTGTCAATGGAGGCTCTGCAGGAGATCATGGGTTTACCGCAGTAAGGGGTTGCAATCGAGATTTCTCAAAGCAACTCAAAAGTCTGTCTGATGGATCACACGAAGGGGATTCATTAGAGGGCGTGCTGGAGATCATGGGGCTGCCGCAGTAAGGGGTTGCATTTTAGGATGCAGGGCAGGGGGCAGAAGTTCGCGAAAAAAGTAGGTAATGCTATTGTTAAGAGCTTGTACTTGTGTAGACGTATGTGCACAATTAAAAAATATTTGTAACGACCTTGTGCATACGCGATAATACACCTTGGATCTTGCTGTGTGTGGGCCTGAGTTCACTGGTCCGCTGTAATCACGCCACAGTCAGTTCACATGATGTCGACGTATTCGTGTGGTGGAAAGTGCACTTCCGAATGGAAATCTGGTTGGCGGTTGATATTCTGTTATGCCACCAAGCATGTGTCACCCAACTTGCGAAATGATTCACTCACGCGTCCGACTCAGCAGACAGGCAGACTTCTGTCGAGCGTGCCAATGCCCCGCTTACTCGAATCGCGTAGTTTTGTGCCATGCCACGGCCACGGCTCTCTCCGCTGGCCTCCCCCTCCCTCCCTCCTAAACACTGTACAGTACAGAATTACCCAAGCCCCACTGGGTTTATCCTCGATGCCTCGACCCTATGTGCTAATGTGGAGTATGCAGATCTTCCTTCAAACGAAGCAGGGTGATCCATTGGTCTAGGATGACGACGTGGCGTTATTCACTGTCAGCCAAATCCAACGTCACCTCAATTTGCAGACAAAAGCTCGCGTGATGCTCAATGCCTGGTTTCCTGCGGACCGCAGCTTCCCCGCCCCGGATTTCCTGGCATCTGACCGTTGTTGAAAACCAGAACAGCCCCTGGAAAAGTAGAATGCAACCTCTGTCCACCCAGCTTCGGGAGCACTCCCTCCATTCGTACACCTTTACGGGCAGAAAGGGGTGACCGGCGCGGGCGCCTACTGCTCATTCTTCGTGGGTCGAGAGACGGTTCATCACGTTTTAGGTCGGTTACGTAGAAAGCAACACCATATAATTTCCTATTTCCCACCTATTTTCATGTTCAAGGTGATGTTCTTGGGTGAGATGCCTGCCGAGTTGGGCAGGTGGTAAGGCCTGCCGAAACGAAAAATGGGCATTCTCCCTGATAATGGTGGCCCGTCAGCAAAAACCCCCTTCCGGAGAGTCCCAAGGCAGAAACAAACTGGTCCCTCATGGGGCTGTTTGTAGCCCCTGGCTGGCTCCCCAAGCATCGCCCCCGCGCGTTATCCATCCACCAAACTGGCAAGGCAACCCCCAGGCTCCATTCCAGCCCAGCCACCAGCAGCAACACATTTCGCGCCTTTCCTGTCTCCAACAAAGCATGGTCTGTGCTCTGCTGGAATAGTTGGCTCTGCTGCTGCTGCCTCTGCTGCCTCTGCTGCCTCTGCCATTGATTCTGAGTTCGGTTGAAACTAAGCTAATTGAAAGTAATCTTGTTGAAGCTTTAGGGAGATTATCCGAAGTGGTGAAGCTAGCTGGTTACCAGTTAAGTAAGGCTTAGTACCAAAATTGCGATAAACAAGCGTGGGCAAGGCGCAGCAGATAGTTTAGTACGCCATTTCAGTGAAATCTTGTACCGTGATGAGGTATGCATACTTTTCCCTCTGTATCCACTGCTTTTCGTGGTGCATTGGGTGAAAACCATACTGGAAACGTCAAGCAGCCATAGTCGACATTAGCCAATGCGTCACCGCTTGGAGAAGCATACACACTTACAAGAAAAAAAGCGGCATATCACGGTCTTTTTTCCTTCTTCGCAGACATGTCCTTTCTCGTTGTCTGTCCGAATGCGTGTTTTGGTAGTCCCACATTACATGCGGCTCATGCATTGTTATCCTCTACTTACGTCATTGAACACGTTCTTCCTTTTATGTGTTACCTTGTCGCTACACTCTCCGACCGCGCGTTTTATTATTCTTTTTTTAATTATTTATTGTAACTGTTATTTCTTCTTTTCTTCTGTGATCGCCTTGACAGTGTGCAGGTGACCTAAGCAGTGCTATTTATCTCCTTCGACCACCCTTCCTCACCCTTTTTTCCCGACAGTTGAAGCCTACAGGCGACCGCCGACTCAGCAGAGAGTAACGACAGCACCTACCGAAGAGTCTTGCAGCTAGTTCCCATCAAATAGCTGCCTTTAAGCTAGTTTCCGTCAGCTACTTAGCGTCAAACAGCTCAGGTCGTTATTGTCGGCTGCCGAACAGGGTACTCGTTATAAACCTCTAGGCCGAGGCCGATAAGAGTTTCAGTATGGCAAGCCAAGACCCAGCTATGAGTTCTGCGACAATGTCGACCGCTGATACTAGCTCTCCCACCCACAGCACCCGCACCATGTCCACCGTAACCTCCGCCGCACCGTCCGGAGCACCGGCCTCCATGAGCTCGTCGAGTGTTACGGGCACCAAGGCCCTGGCGAAGCGCGCCATCCGCGTCGCGCAGGCCGTGGCCGACGCGCGGCTCGACAGCGCGTACGAGGACGCGTCGGAAGGGTTCGACTATCACGACTCGGTGGAGGCCAGCAAGGGCATCACGCAGACGGATGGCGGGCAAAGCGGCGCGCAAGGCGGCGGGAAACCCGGCGGCGCGCCGGTCGCGTCGTACCTGCAGCGCATGCAGCGCGGAGGGTTGATCCAAGCGTTCGGGTGCCTGGTGGTCGTGGAAGAAGCGACGTTTAACGTGCTTGCTTATAGCGAGAACGCCAAGGACCTGCTGGGGCTGATTCCGAAGCCCAAGACGGAGGAAGAATTGGAGGCGGAGAAGAAGGCGGCGGAGGAGGCGGAGCGGAAGAAGGCGGAAGAGGCCGCGAAGGCGGAGGCGGCAACGGCGTCCCCAAGCAAGTCCGGAAAGTCGGGCATTGGTGAGTAACGCTTGGGTGAGATTATAGTCCGGGAGGAGTTAAGCGCGTGTTTGGAACCGGTTAGGCTGAAAGCTCATTCGAGACTTCTGGAAAATTCTGTGAGGCGTCTTAGGACTTCAACGTGTCCGAGTAACCAGTTAGGTACGCCAGCAGGGCAATGGTGAGATAAATTGTGTAGGAGGAACGTTCGCTAGGAGACAGCTGAAGGATAGTGAAACGTGTGTGAGGAACGGTTAGGCACGCCAGTGGCGCGTTGCTGTGCATAACGTAAGAGATGAAACTTTGAGTAGGAGAATGGCGGGGCTTGTATGAGCAACGAATTGTTCCGCCACTCCTACATTGGCGAGCCGTGCGCTTTGCGATGCATGGATCATAGTGCCCTTACCACCTCTCCCTCTCGCCCTCTCGCCCTCCCTCTCGTATCCCTCTCCGCCTCTCTGCTTGTCTACCTTCTCCCTTTCCCTCAACCCCCTCGTCTCTCGTCTTTCGCTTCTCCTTCCTCGTTTTCCGCGTCCCTTCTCCTCCCACTCTCCTTGATTGTTGTCACTCATTCCTTCCCGTTCTCCCTCCCTCACCATTTCGCCCTGTCTCCCTTTCTCCCTCTCTCCCTCCCTCCTCGTTTCGTCCTCTCTCCCCGTATCCCTCTCCCCCTTTCTCCCTATCCATCTCTTCCTCTCTCTCTCTCTCCTTACCCACCTCCCCCCCCCCCTCTCACCCGCTCAGGCCGCGCCTTCTCGTCTCTCAAGGACAAGATCTCCTCCGCGATTCGCGGGCACAACGCGGCAAGCTCCAAGCACTCCAAGGAGCGCGGGCGCAGCGCCGCGCCTTCCGCGACCTCGGGCGGGCGCGTGGGTTCCCCCGCGCGCTCGCAGTCCCCCTCGCGCTCGTGGCGCAGCGGGTTCCGCGCAAGCCGCCGCGCGGAGGACTGGGAGGGCGCGCACTCGAACCTGAGCAAGGCGGGGGACGCGGAATCCGCTCCGCCGGCTCCGCCGCCGCCTCCGCCGCTCCCCGTGCTCGGTAAGCCAATGTACTGACTTTTGAAAGGGCGGGAAGAGCATTGGGGGGAGCACTGGGGGGAGCGTTGGGGGGAGCATGGGGGAGCATTTGGGGGAGCATGGGGGAGCATTTGGGGGAGCATTGGGGGGAGCTTTGGGGGGAGCATCCATGTCCATGCATACACGCACGCATGACGTCATCACACATCATGTTGTGCGCTTGAGAATTGAGGGGAGGAGGAAATGCTATCATCAGTAACACTAATAAGATTCTTAAGCACATCCACACGCATGCCATCAACATATGGTATGCATGATCGTATTGTAACCATGCAAACACGTGTGCGCTTATAATCGGCTCAACAAACATTATGATGCATGGGTATGGGATATGCTGACGAGTGGATGTGGATGCGAGAGGGAGCCCACATCCACAGCATCTGCATGGGTACATGCCTTTTTCCCCACTCTCACTTCACCCTGTCACACCAAAGTCACCCTCCCCTTCCCCCCACCCTACCCTACCCTCTTGCCCGTTTTCCTTCCAAATGACCTCTATACCAGTCCTATCTTCACTCATTAAACTCCTGACCTTGGATCGATATGCTTTGACCCCCGCTCCCCCACCCACTCCCCTCCACCTTCCCCCCTTCCCCACCTTTCTCTTTCCAGATTTCGGGGTGGACGCGCGTTCTCTCTTCACCCCTGACAGTGTGACAGCCCTCGAAAAGGCCACAGGAGCAGCTGATCTCAGCATGATCAACCCAGTGTTGGTGGAAGCTGCTGTGTCCAACCGCGGGGACCACCGCCCCTTCTACGCCATCCTGCACCGCATCGACGTGGGCATCGTCATCGACCTCGAGCCCATCCGCGACGCCGAAAACATCTTCACCGGCGCCGGCGCCCTCCAGGCGCACAAGCTCGCTGCCAAGGCCATCGCTAGGCTCCAACGCATGCCGCCCGGGGACATGATCATGCTGTGCCAGGCTGTCGTGGAGGAGGTGAAAGAATTAACCGGATACGACCGGGTCATGACTTACAAATTCCATGAGGATGAGCATGGGGAGGTGCTGGCAGAAGCCAGGAAAGAATCCATGGAGCCTTACCTCGGTCTCCACTACCCCGCGACTGACATTCCCCAGGCCATCCGGTTTCTCTTCATGAAGAACCGGGTGCGATGCATCTGCGATGCCTACTCCGACGAGGTGAAGGTGGTGAGGGATGAAGGGAGGCTGAAGCAGCCGGTGACGCTGGCGGGGTCGCAGCTGCGAGCGGCCCAGCGGTGCCACATTCAGTACATGCGCAACATGGGCACCACTGCATCCATGACCATGGCCGTGATTATCAACGACGAGGATGCTCCACAGCAGGCTCCGCAGGGAGCGGCGGGGGCTGCAACTCCCGCGCAGGCGAATCGGGGGAAGAAGCTGTGGGGGCTGGTGGTGTGCCACCACGAGACGGCCCGGTACCTCCCGTTCCCGCTGCGCCTGGCCTGTGAGTTCCTCATGCAGGTGTTCTCGCTGCAGGTGAACATGGAGCTTGAGATGGCCCGGCAGCAGCGCGAGAAGGAGATGCTCCGGACGCAGACTCTCCTCTGCGATCTCCTCATGCGCGGGGACGCGCCCCTCGGGATTGTCTCGCAGAACCCGAATATTCAGGACTTGGTTAAGTGCGACGGCGCGGCGCTGTACTATGCTGGGCGGTTCTGGCTACTGGGAACCACTCCCACTGAGATGCAGATCTTGGATATTATTGACTGGCTGGATACTGCGCATCCCGATTCGTCCGGTCTGAGCACTGACAGCCTGGCAGAAGCGGGGTATCCGAGAGCTGAGGAGCTCGGAGATGGGGTGTGCGGGATGGCGTGTGCGCGGCTGTACGCTAGGGATGTCTTGCTGTGGTTCCGGTCGCACGTGCGCAAGGAGGTGCGGTGGGGAGGGGAGAAGCATGATAATAGAGACAAGGAGGATGAGCGTCCGGAGAGGATGGCCATGGGCCCGCGGGCGAGCTTTGCGGCTTTCCTGGAGGTGGTGCGGCAGCGGTCGATGCCATGGGAGGACGTGGAGATGGACGCGGTGCACTCGCTGCAGCTCATCTTGAGGGGCCATCTGACGAGCTTCAGTGACAATGACATGCGCGACATGATGCTCAACCGCATGCGCGACCAGGTGAGAGTTTGGTGGGGGTAAGGGGTTTAATGGGGTTGTGTATGGTTATAGAGGCCACCTTACGAGCTTCAGTGACAATGACATGCATGACAGGATGCTCAACCGCATGCGCGGCCAGGTGAGGGGTGGAGGGGGGTTGAGTGCGGGTATAAGGGCCACCTTGCGTCACAGAGAGTTAGATGGTGCGAGTGCTGCCGCTGGCTGCTGCTTCGAAACCCAACCCCCCATGCTCCCACCCCACCCCCACCCACACTATCGCCACTCCCCCTCTCTCTCCCGTACAAACACCGGGAAATGGTCGGGCGTCACTGAAAGCGAGACGGTGCGAGTGCTCAAAATAGCAACAGCGCCCATCCTGGTTGTGGACAGGGACGAGTGTGTCGCTGCGTGGAACGCCAAAGTCTAGTTTTGAGGCGCCTCAAAACTAGGCGAGTGCTCAAGATAGCAACAGCGCCCATCCTGGTCGTGGACAGAGACAAGTGTGTCACTGCGTGGAACGCCAAACCCTGAACCCCCTTTCTCCTGTTCCCCTTTTCCCAATCCCTTTTCCCATTCCCCTTCTCCCCAACCCTCTGCCATCCGATTCCTTTTCCCCAACCCCCCCACCCTCTGGCAGGAAATGGATCGCCTGAGCGCCACAGAGAGTGAGATGGTGCGAGTGCTGGAGACGGCAACAGCGCCCATTCTGGCTGTGGACAGGGACGGGTGTGTCACCGGGTGGAACGCCAGGCTGGCGGCGCTGACAGGACTCGCCACAGGGGACGCCCTGGGGAAGCACCTGATCACGGACCTGGTGGTGGAGAGCAACGTGGACGCTGTTGGGCGCGCGCTGTTCCTCGCCCTGCAAGGTAGGCTCGTTGCTGGCATGGCGTCTGTGTGCTGTGTGTGTGCCGTGTGCTGTGCCGTATGCCATGTGCTTTCCCGTCCCTCCCTTCCCCTCCCTAACTTTCCCTACCTCCCTCTCCCTGCCTTCCCCTCCCTCCCTTCCCCTCCCTACCTTCCCCTACCTCCCCCTCCCTCCCTTCCCCTCCCTACCTTCCCCTACCTCCCCCTCCCTCCCTTCCCCTCCCTACCTTCCCCTACCTCCCCCTCCCTGCCTTGCCCTGCGTCCCCCCTCCCTGTTTTCCACGCTTCTGCACTCCATGTCTCCCTGCCTTCCCCTCCTCTGCCCCTCCCTCCCATCCCCTCCCTACCTTCCTCTCTGTTCACCATCACCAGGCCAGGAGAGCAAGCAGCTGGAGATCCACCTGCGAGCCAGGAGCGTGATGCAGTCCTCCAAGGATTAGACTCAGTCACTGGGGCTTGTGGTTCTCAGCTCCTCTTCTGTCTCACTCTCTCTTCCTTCTCCCCCATCATTCCAGGAGAGCAAGCAGCTGGAGATCCACCTGCGAGCCAGGAGCGTGGTGCAGTCCTCCAGGGACTCTCTCATCCTCGTCATGACCGCCCCTCCCCTCTCCGTCTCCCTGCCTTTCCCATCCCTGCCTGTCCCATCCCTGCCTTTCCCATCCCTGCCTTCCCCATCCCTGCCTTTCCCATCCCTGCCTTCCCCATCCCTGCCTTTCCCATCCCTGCCTTCCCCATCCCTGCCTTTCCCATCCCTGCCTTTCCCATCCCTGCCTTCCCCATCCCTGCCTTCCCCATCCCTGCCTTTCCCATCCCTGCCTTCCCCATCCCTGCCTTTCCCATCCCTGCCTTCCCCATCCCTGCCTTTCCCATCCCTGCCTTTCCCATTCCCGCCTTTCCCATCCCTGCCTTCCCCATCCCTGCCTTCCCATCCCTGCCTTCCCCATCCCTGCCTTTCCCATCCCTGCCTTCCCCATCCCTGCCTTTCCCATCCCTGCCTTTCCCATCCCTGCCTTCCCCATCCCTGCCTTCCCCATCCCTGCCTTTCCCATCCCTGCCTTTCCCATCCCTGCCTTTCCCATCCCTGCCTTCCCCATCCCTGCCTTTCCCATCCCTGCCTTCCCCATCCCTGCCTTTCCCATCCCTGCCTTTCCCATCCCTGCCTTTCCCATCCCTGCCTTCCCCATCCCTGCCTTTCCCATCCCTGCCTTCCCCGCCCCTGCCTTCCCCTCCCTCCGTTCCCTCCCTCGCTGCAACTGCAGGCCAGGAGAGCAAGGAGCTGGAGATCCACCTGCGCACGTGGGGAGTTGTGCAGTCCTCCAAGGACTCGGTCATCCTCGTTGTCAACGCCTTTGCCAGCCGCGGAACAGCCATGGGAGGGGATGATATGGAGGAGGTGGTGGGGGTGTGCTTTGTGGGGCAGGACGTGACTGCTCAGAAGGCGGTGCAGGGCAAGTTCACGCGCCTGCAGGGCGATTATGAGGCCATTGTGCATGGCAACAACTCGCTCATCCCTCCAATATTCTCTACTGATGGTGAGCCTTGTGCTTATGGTGCTTGGGGCGCCGGGGTGTGTGCTTGCTAGTAAGGGGGTGGGGGGGTGGGGAGGTGGGGAGGAGTTTGGGTGCGTGCGAGGGGGTGGTGGGGGTGTGCTTCGTGGGGCAGGACGTGACGGCGCAGAAGGCGGTGCAGGGCAAGTTCATGCGCCTGCAGGGCGACTACGAGGCCATTGTTCATGGCAACAACTCACTCATCCCCCCGATCTTTTCTACCGATGGTCAGTGCCTGGGTGCCTGGGGTGTGGGCTGATGAGGGGGTGGGAAAGGGAGCTTGGGGGTGGGTAGGGCATGAAATGCGGTGCTGGGCAAGTTCACGCGCCTACAGGGGGATTACGAGGCCATTGTTCATGGGAACAACTCGCTCATCCCCCCATCTTCTCCACTGATGGTCAGTGCTTGGTGCCCAAGTGCTTGGGTGCTTGGGTGTTTGGGTATGGGGGTGCTTGGATGTGGGTGCGTAATTGTAATTGAAATGGGTGCTTGGTAACGGGAGTGCCTGTGTGCCTTGCCAGAGTCGTGCTTGCCACTCTCAGTCCTCCCCTTTCAACTCCTTCCACCCCCTTCCACCCCGTTCCACCCCGTTCCACCCCCTTCCACCCCCTTCCACCCCCGTCCACCCCTTCCAACCTGTTCAATTCCTGTACTGCTTCCACCACTTGTGTTCTCTTTGTTCCCCACTCATCCCGCCCCCTCGTCACTCTCCGTCCACCCCTCTCACCCCTAGGCTATCTTGTACCTCTTCTCCCCCTTCTTGCCACTCATGCTTGCATGCCATGCCACGCCTTGTCCCTCCCTCGTCCCCTCTTGTCCACTCCGTCCACCCCTCTCACCCCTTCACTATCTTGTACCTCTTCTCCCCCTTCTTGCCACTCATGCGTGAATGCCATGCCATGCCTTGTCCCTCCCCCCCCCACCTCCCCACCCCCCTCGACTCCCGTCCCCCGTTCATTCATCAGATTTCGGCAACTGCACGGACTGGAACCCGGCTATGGAGAGGATCACGGGGGTGCCACGTCAGCAGGCGATCGACCGGCTGCTGCTGGGCGGCATTTTCGGCCCCATCTGCCGCATGAAGGCAGACACGATGACGAAGCTGATGATTGTGATCAACAAGGCGCTCTCGGGCCAGATGACCGACCGCTACCCTCTCGAGTTCCTCGATGCCCATGTGAGTGTTTGGATGCTACTCCTTATATCTGAGAGGGAGCATGCATATAAGCATGCATGCCAGTAAGCAAGCAAGCACGCACGAAGGCAGACACGATGACGAAGCTGATGATTGTGATCAACAAGGCGCTGTCTGGCCAGATGACCGACCGCTATCCCCTCGAGTTCCTCGATGCTCATGTGAGTTGATGATTGCACAAGTGAATGCTGGGTAGTAAGGTGTCTTTTGAGTCGACTCAAAAGTCACCTCGGGTAATACTCGTTGAATGCGAGAGCAATCAAGCATGCAAGTATACAAGCAAGCAAGTAAGCAAGCGAGCATGAAGGCATGAATGCGGACCCAACGGCAGTGCTCATGATTGTCATCAACTAGGCGACTTATGCTTCCTGCACACCGTCTCGGCCATGCTGCAGGCGGCTCTCAACCTGCAGTGCGCCGATCAGGACTCGCCACCCCTCACTCCCTTCCTCTCCCTCCTCCCCCCGTCCCCCTCCCCCTCAACCCACACAGGGCCAACTGGTGGAGGCTCTTCTGACAGTGCAGACCCGCCGCGATTCTGACGGCCATGTGACGGGCGTGTTCTGCTTCCTGCACACCGTCTCCGCGGAGCTGCAAGCCGCCCTCAACCTGCAGCGCGCCACGCAGGACTTTGCCAAGGAGAAGGCCAAAGCTGTGGCGTACACCAGAGATGCCATTCGTGGGCCGCTGGACGGGATCGAGCACGCGCTGGAGGGGCTGCGGAAGGAGGAGCGGGAGGGGCGGCTGGTTGGGGAGGAGGAGAAGAATGCAGTGGGTGTGGCGGAGCGGTGCAAGGAGCAGGTGGACAGGATTCTTGGGGATGATGACATTGACACCATCGAGGAGGGGTGAGTTGAAGCAAGAAGAGGCGTGAATTGAGTGAATGAAGCGTGAGATCTGCCTGATCCGCCGTACGCAGGTGTCTCGGGTAGGAAGGGGTGTGGCGAGGGTGGCAGCGTGGTGCAAGGAGTAGGTGGACAGGATTCTGGGGGATGATGATATTGATACCATTGAGGGGTGAGTTGAATGAATGAATGAAGGAAAGTGAGTGTAAAGAAAGAACAGGCCAAGCACGCCGTACATGAGTAATGCTGAAATCTAGGAGCAGAGCAGGTTGTATTCTTCTTGGGGACAGAATTGGCATCATGTTGTTCCGTTCTCCCCCTCCGTTTCTCCTGCCCTCTCTCGCCCTTTCTGCCTTTTCCCCCTCCCCTCTCCTTCCGCTAAATATTCAGCTACGTGAACATCATCCCAGCGGTGTTCACCATCGCTTCGGTCATCGATGCAGTAATCGCTCAGGGCAAGCAAGCGGCCTCCCGCCGCGGAGTCTCCCTCTCCTTCGACCCGCCGCCGCAGCTGCGCTCGTTCCCCGGCCTCGCAGGAGACCCTGCTCGCCTGCAGCAGGCCCTGGCTGAGTACCTGACGAGTGCCGTGGCGTTCACGCCGCAAGGCGGGTGGGTGAAGGTGCGCCTGGTTACCAGCACGCGCAGTCTCTTTGGCGACCAGGGCTCCCTCAAATGCGAGTTCCGGTGAGTACAAGGCAGCAGGGATGGGGTTTGCATGGATAGGGGGCGGGTAGCATGTGGACGGGGGTTTTATGGGGAAGGGCGAAAGGGGGACAGGGACTGGGGGGGTGTGGGGGGGGTGTGGGGGGGGTGTGGGGGGGGTGTGGGGGGGGTGTGGGAAGGGGTTGTGGGGGCACCACCCCTGCCTGTAGTAACCTCTTCAGGTATTGTTCCTCCCATGCCTCCCTGTCACACAACCCTTGCAGAGTGCAACACTCAGGAGCGCTCCCCCAGGAGCTGGTGCAGCAGCTGTACGACGAGGCAGACCCCACCACACCTCTCTCTGTCTGTGCCTGATGTGATTTGTGACCCCTACATGTGTTGTGTCTACCCGCTCCCTCCCCTCTTCCAGAGTGCAACACTCAGGTGCCCTCCCACAGGAGCTGGTGCAGCAGCTGTACGACGAGGCAGACCCCACCACGCGCACGCAGGAGGGGCTGGGCCTCTCGGTGTGCCGCAAGATCCTGCTGGCCATGGCAGGCGACGTGCAGTACGACCGCAACTACAACGCCTGCGAGTTTGTCGTCCGCATTGGGTTCCCTTTCGCTTAGGAAGCTCGCTATTCCTCGTCACCTCCTCCTCCTCCACCTCCTCCACTTCCTCCTCCACCTCCTCCACTTCCTCCTCCACCTCCTCCACTTCATCCTCCACCTTCTCCACTTCCTCCTCCACCTCCTCCACTTCCTCCTCACCTCCTCCACTTCCTCCTCACCTCCTCCCGCACCTCCCCTCTCGGTGTGCCGCAAGATTCTCATCGCCATGGCAGGCGACGTGCAGTACGACCGCAACTGCAACGCATGCGAGTTTGTCGTGCGGATCGGGTTCCCTAACACTTAGAACGCCTCGCTCCTCCTCCCCTTTCTGCAATCGTAACTACAACGCCTGCGAGCTTGTTGTTCGATTGAACTTTGCTTCGAAGCCTCTGCCACTGATCCTGCTGGCTTGTTCAGGCGACGAGCAGACATGCAGACATGTTTGTGCTTAGGTTCCTTCATTGGTGACTGCTCTTCTCTCTGGCTCGGCTGGCTCACTCCGTATTTGGGGTTTTTACCATAGTTAATCTTGGCACTTTCAGGTCCCGCCTCCTGCTTTATAGTATGGTAATGGAACAGGCCCATTGTGTGTGCTGCTGTTGCAGGGTGTGATAGGAGAATGTTAAAAGTGTCAATACTCGTGTATTGTAGGTGTGTGACTGTCAGACTCAAGTAGTGGTACCTGTGTGGATGAGACCTTATGACAAACCTGTGTTAAAAATCTGGATCGCTCTGCTGAACCTGCTGCTTGGATAGTCTTACAAAGTGAAAATAGTGGAATGAGTTGGATTGATTGTTTTGGGGTACAAATGCCTAACCCTAACTGTTTGTACCCCATATAGCATGTCCCACTAGAGGCTATAACATTTGACACACCCCCATAGCCTAAGTGGGGAATGCCAAGCAACAAAACACAACCTAAGGTCACAAGACCAGTCACAAGCAAGAGAGCAAACAGAGCTCAGGGTGGATCACAACGTCACCACCAGTCTGAGCACAAACAAGAGGTCACAATGCCAGTTCAAGAGAGTACAAGCTGTCAGAATCCCAGCCACTAACCACTGGGATAAAAGGGCTTGTTTGTGTAGCAGGTGAGTGCGCCCATAACCCCCCAGGCCGACGTGCCTGTAACCCTTCCCTAGGATCAATCGGGGATCTCCAGTGGACCTCTGACACCCCCCCGCACTGGGATGCCCGAGGTGCACACAGTGGAATTCGAACCCGAGACCTTCGCTCTGATACCATGTCAGAATCCCAGCCACTAACCACTGGGATAAAAGGGCTTGTTTGTGTAGCGGGTGAGTGCGCCCATAACCCCCAAGGCCAACGTGCCTGTAACCCTTCCCTAGGATCAATCGGGGATCTCCAGTGGACCTCTGACACAAGCTAATATATATGTAGTACAAACAAACAAGGGGCAAGAACTCACTACTGCAGTCTACTAGACCCAGTCTCAACGAGGCCTAACTGCAGACAAAACCGGCGGTGGTCACAAGGCTGAAGGGCCTTGGTGAAGATGTCTGCAGTGTTGGCCTCGGAGGCCACGAAGTCCAGACGCGCCTGACCGCGTCTCTGCAACTCTCGAAGGAGGAAGTACCTGACGTCGATGTGCTTCACTCTGCTCTCCAGTCAAGGCTCACGACACAGGAGAATCATCGCCTTGTTGTCAGCAAACAAGGTCGGTGCAGAGCTCGGTCGCTCACCAAGGTCAGTGAGCAAGAAGGTCAACCAGCGTAGCTCCTGTGCAGCAAGGGCTCCAGCGTAGATCTCGGCCTCTGCGGTAGAAGTCGCAACAGAGGAGGACCGAGTAGACCTCCACGAAACAGCTCCAGAGCCCAGACTGAAACAGTAACCCTGCGTAGACCTCTGAGTCTCAACGTCGTCGGCGTAGGAGGAGTCGCAGTGACCGGTGAGTACAACTGGCTGTGTCCCTCCAAGTACAAGCCCCATGTCCGTGTCGTGGCAAGGTACTTCGCCACCCTCTTAGCCGCCGTCCAGTGAACAGGACGGTGTCTCCCAGTCGCAACAAAGCGAGAAAGGATGCTAAGAGGGAAGGCGAGGTCCGGGCGAGTGCACGTCATCAGGTACATGAGGCAGCCCACCAGCTCTGCGTAGGGACCACTGGGCTCGAACGGCTCGTCAGGAAAAGGCCCAGTGAGTCTGTGGTCTACAGCAAGAGGGGTGGGTGTAGGAGAGGAGTGCTGAAGCCCGAACCGCTGAAGGACCTGTTGCACCATGTGTGACTGAGTCAGAGTGATGGTGCGAGCGGCTCTGTCCCTGGAGATCTGCAGGCCAAGGTAGCGGCGCAGTTCCCCAAGGTCAGTGCAGGTGTGTCTCTTCTGCAGTTCGGACTTCACCTCCGCCAGTGCAACTGTGTTGACTGTGGCAAGAACCAAATCGTCAACGTAGACCAGAACGAAGAAAGGTGTGCGCCCACGACGAACAAACAGCGACGGGTCGGCGGAAGACGGCTCAAACCCGAGGTCGGACAGAGTAGAGCGGAGAGTGTCGTGCCACTCACGGGGTGCCTGACGGAGACCGTAGACCGGTCGTCTGAGGCTCCACTGGGTCCCAGGCGGGAAGGTGCCAGTGAAGCCCGGAGGACGACGCAGCCAGATCTCCTCGTGTAGGCTGCCCTGCAGGAAGGCGGTGGAGAAGTCGAGGGAGTGTAGCTCGTAGTCCCTCTGTGCCGCTACGTGAAGTAACACCCGAAGAGTGGTCATCTTCGGGGTGGGCGCGAAGGTCTGAAAGAAGTCAACCCCCTCGCGCTGACTGAAACCTCTAGCCACGTAGCGTGCCTTGAAGACTGGGGGAGATCCCGGCGGCCGCTTCACCTTGAAGATCCACATGCCGTCAACTATGTTCGCCCCTGGGGGGGGAACCTCGTCAACGTAAGTGCCTGTGGACCTGTAGGAGGCCATCTCTGCGTCCATGGCAGCTCTCCACTGAGAGGCCCAAGGCCCTGACACTGCCTCAGCGTAAGTGCGAGGAGTAGGTATGTCAGGAGCGTCGGGGTCTCCCTCAGGAGCGAGCAGCATGGCACAGAGATGAGGCGAAGCAGCTGCCAGGAACTCTAGCTCAAACTGTCTGTCCTCTAGGACGTCACAGCCAAGGGCAAACTCACCCCTGGCGGACAGAGGACGGACAGGAGGAGCGGCCACAACACGAGTGGCGTAGTCAAGGCGACGCGTAGCAGTAAAGTCAGTGACAGCGGCAGTGAGGACCGCGACGGAGGAAGGAGAGGCACGAAAGTCGGTAACAAGAGAGGAGAGAACACGAGAGAGAGTGGAGCGGTACGTGCGGTAGTAGTGAGTGACTGGAGTGGACAGGGAGGCAGTGAGAGACGACTCAGGAGGGCGAGGAAGGACAGACGGAGGAGAACGAGGAGGACTAGGACGGAACAACACAGTACAGAGGTCGGTGATAGGTGAGGACGAGCACGAGGAGGACGAGAGGCCCAAGTGTGGGCGAGAGGAGAGGGAGACGGAGGAGACTGAGGACGAGGGAACACAGCCGGAGCGGAGTCCGGAGGAGGAAACGTAGGACCGAACACAGGAGGAGAGGAGGGGAGACCAAGGGCCCGAAGGCCAGAAACAGGGGCCGGAGGCTGCTCCGGCTGCTGCTGCTGCTGCTGCTGCTGCTGCTGCTGCTGCTGCGGCGGCGGCGGCGGCGGCTGCTGCTGCTGCTGCTGCTGCTGCTGCTGCTGCTCCCGCTGCAACTCCAACCGCTCACGCTCCACCCGCCGCTGAACCTCCAACCTCTCACGCTCCAAACGCTGCTGCTCCTCACGCTCAACACGAAGAAGGGCCTGGTAACGAGTAGGGTAGGGGTGAGGAGGAGGAGTGGTGTCAGGAGACGAAGAAGAAGAACCAGCTCCGCCCTCGACAGTACCCGGCTGAGCACCCCCAGAGCGAGTACCCCCTGCGACAGCACGACCAGCACCTGTAGGAGGTGTACCCGCACCCCCAGTCGTGGTGCCTCCAGTGGCACCAGCACCAGTCCCAGACCCTCCAGCTCCAGGAACACCACTAGCTCCAGCACCACCACGAGCTCCAGTACCCTCGGAACGGGCAGCTGCGGCAGGTGCACGCTCAGCGCCAACGCCAACACCCCCAGAACGGGCGGCTCCTGTAGGTGCACGAACAGCTCCAACGCCAGCACCCCCAGAGCGAGCACCGCCAGAGCCCTCACCTCGAGCACCAACACCCTCAGAGTCCGCAGTGGCCGGTAAAGGAAGCGCTGACGGCTGCTGCGGAGGCTGTGAGGACGACTGTGGGGAAGGAGGAGAGACCTGGGGGGGTACCGAGGGGGGGGGAGTAGCGTGGGACACACCAGACGGAGCGGGAACAGGGGGGGGTACCGGAGGAGCAGGGGCGGGAGGAGGAGGAGCTGGAGCCAGAAAAAGTGGAGGGGGGGGAACCGAGAGACCTCGACAGGGGTACCGGACGTAGTAGGGGACAGACTCGTCGAAACGGACGTCACGAGAGTCAAAGAACCGGTGGGAGGGAGGGTGGTAAAAGGTGAAGTCAGAGGAGTCCTCTGGGAAACCAAGGAAGACACAGGGGACGGCGCGAGGTGAGATCTTGTCCGCAGAGGTGTCGCGGACAAGAGCCAAGCAGCCCCAGACACTAAACCTCGACGCTACACCAGGGGACCCTGTCCAAAGACTGGTCGGTGAAGCCTCTGGCCGAGAGACACGAGGCCAGAGGTTCAGCTGGTGAGCGGCGTACCGAGCCGCGTAGGGCCACAGAAAATGGGGCGCGCGGGCGTGGATCATGGAGGTGCGGGCAATCTCCATGACCAGGCCTAAGCGGCGCTCAGCAACCCCATTCTGCTGTGGAGAGTCTGGAAGAGTCCAGGACTGGGAGATGCCCTGCTCAGCACAGAATCTGGCGAGAACGCCGGAGCGAAACTCACCCCCACGGTCGGAGTGGAGACAACTGACACGACGACGGCGAGTACTCTCGGTGGCGAGCAGCCACCGGATCAGCGTAGAAGTCACGTCGGACTTCTTCGCCAAGGGGAACACGGTGGTGTACCGAGAGTAGTCGTCAACGACCACCAGAAAGAAACTCTCCCGCTCAGGGCCAAGGCGGGAAGCGGGGCCCTAGACGTCTAAGTGGAGTGTCTCAAAGGGCTCGGTGGCCGGACGAAGGGAGGAGGAGTGAGGGGTGGCGCGCAACCGACCCTCGACACAAGGACCGCAAGGAGGAGCTGGGGACGGCGGGAGCGGCGGAAGGACTCGGGGGAGGCCTAAGACAAGACGCTGACTGGACATAGCGCGAAGACGAGGGAGGGACGGGTGACCAAGGCGGTGGTGCCAGAGGAGGGAGGGGTGGGCAAGCGACCGACACGAGCACGACGCAGCAACGGGACCGGACACAGCAACCTGACTGGACCTGGCTACCTGGTAGGACAGAGGAACCTGACGGGGGTCGGTGTGGAGGGTGTACAGACCGGAGCCCGGCTCCTGGCGAAAGGGGCCAAGGGGGCGTATGTGTCACCGTCCACACAGACCGCGGTGTCACCAGAAGGCTCAACCCAGACCCCGACGTGCTGTCTCGCCAGGGGGCCCACACCAACCAGGTTCCTAGAGAACGTAGGAACGTGGAGGCCAGTCAGGGAACCGGAAGGAGCAGCCGGGCACGGGAGCGTAGTGGCGTGAGTCGCAATGACCGGTCCCGAAGAGGGATCGGCCAGTGCTACAGGGACTGGCGCCAGCAGTGGAGAGAGAGTCGTGTGGTCGCGGAAGAAACAGTGTGAAGCTCCCGAGTCCAGCGTGAAGGAGAGAGACGCGTCTGCCGAGGGAGCACCTGTACTAGTAGCTAAACAAGATCCTACACTAGCACCTACTCTAGTAATAGGCAAAGAGCCTACGCTAGGCACAGGCAAGTACACAGATCCAGGAGCATTATAGGCAACATCAGCATACGTGGCATAAGACCTAGCATCATCCATAGTCATATAAAAAAAAAAGATACCACGAGCAAGAAGTGTCCCCCAACGCGGCGGCGGGGGAGCGGAGGGGCCGTGGTGGAAGCGGTAGAGGTCGTCGAGACGACTGAAGCAGCGTGCAGCAGAGTGGTCAGGGCGGCCACAGTACGAGTCCCTACGTGGACCCGTAAGGATCCAGTACTCACAGGGACCAATGCCGCGACCGGCCGAGCGAGGTCCCCGACTGGAGGGGGCAGCACTGCGCCCAGTGCTCGGGGGACCCGCAGACCTCCACTGCTGCGGAGAGCCCCACGGCTGCGGAGGGCCCCACTGCTGCGGCTGCGGCTGTGGCGGGCGCTGCGGCTGGCCCTGTCGCTGCTGCTGCTGTCCCTGCCGCTGCTGCTGTCCAGGCGGTGGCAGCTGCTGAGAAGCCGGCTGCTGCTGCTGCTGGAACCCCTCACCACCAGTGAAAACTCCACCGTCGAGAGGAGGGCCGTCAGGTCCCGAGCCACCCCCACCACCACTCCCACCACCTGCTCCACCGCCACCGCCACTACCCGCACCACCTCCAGTACCTCCGCCGCCCTTCCCGCCCTTCTTACCGGCCTTGCCACGTTTCTGTCCGCCAGAGACAGAAACAGCCGCCGTCTCCTCAGAGGCAGAAGACGTGGGGGTGGCAAGGGAGGCAGTGAAGGTGGGAAGCTGTGGTACCGCACACCCCTCAAAAAGACGAGGAGGAGGCGCGGAAGAGGCAGAGGCAACAGCGAGGAGGTTACTCTCGATCTTCGAGAGAGCAGTCTCAAGAAGATCGATGGTAAGCTCAGTGGGGTGCGTCAGAAGAAGCGCGTCGCGGGCTGTGGCTAGGCGGTCAGGGAGGCGAGTGACTAGCCAGTGAATAGTGAGCCACATAGGGGGCGGGGCAAGGGCAAGCAGGTCTTCAGTGCAAGCAGCGCGAAAGCGAGCGTCAAGGGAGCGAAGGTGGGTAACGAGGTCAGAGACAGTCTCAAAGGAGGCGAGGTCAGGGTAGATAAAGGGGACGAGGAGGCGGCTGAGTGAAGCAGAGGAGGGAGTGGAGTAGCGATCAACAATAGCCTTATACAGATCTGCAGCAGACTCGACCTGAGTGAAGTGGACTGCCTCTGTCGGCGGGAGAAGGTCGGTCAGGGCGAGGCAGGCAGCGGCGTCACGAGACTCCCATACGTCTCGAGCGAGGAACTGGCGCCGGTACTCGGCCTCCTGCTCAGGAGTAGGCGGTGGGGTAGTGGGCAGCAGGCTAGGCTGCGGAGGAGCGGTCTGAGTACCGGACGCGTGTGCGAACAGGTGCACGCCATCCTGCCGCTGGCTCTTAAGGTGGCGCTGCGCCTGCGTAAGCCACGTACTAAAGTCTATGGGTCTCCCCTCAGGGTCAAAACGAAGTACTCGGGAGGTCGCCATAAGGGGCGAAAGTGGGAGAGCGCGGCTGCCAGCCGCGGGAGGGTGAGACAGTCAGTGGCGTGTGGGCAGGCGCGCAGGCGGGCAGGTGGCGCGGCACGGCGCGCTGGCCGGCGAGCGGCGCGGCGGGTCTATGGGTGGGTGGCGCTGCGCGCTGGCGTGCACGTCTGCAGGCCGCGCTGGCGTGCGCGCTGGTGGGGCGCGCTGGCGTGCGCGCTGGCGGGGCGCGCTGGCGTGCGCGCTGGCGTGCGCGCTGGCGTGCGCGCTGGCGGGGCGCGCTGGCGTGCGCGCTGGCGTGCGCGCTGGCGGGGCGCGCTGGCGTGCGCGCTGGCGTGCGCGCTGGCGTGCGCGCTGGCGTGCGCGCTGGCGGGGCGCGCTGGCGTGCGCGCTGGCGGGGCGCGCTGGCGTGGGGCGCTGGCGGAGCGCGCTGGCGGGCGGGCTGGCTAAGGCGCTGGCGGGCGGGCTGGCTAGGGCGCTGGCGGGCCTGCTGGCTAGGGCGCTGGCGGGCCTGCTGGCTAGGGCGCTGGCGGGCCTGCTGGCTAGGGCGTGTAGGGCAAACGGGGGGGTGGGGAGGGCGCACCAAGGCTAGAGACGAAGTTTTAGGAAGGGCGGCGACTAGGTGTGGCCTAGGAACGGCGAACCTACTGCTGATACCATCTTACAAAGTGAAAACAGCGGAATGAGTTAGATTGACTGTGTTGGGGTACAAATGCTTAAGGGCGTGTTCCTACGCTCTTACCGTATCATGCGTGTCAGAATCCCAGTCACTAACCACTGGGATAAAAGGGCTTGTTTGTGTAGCGGGTGAGTGCGCCCATAACCCCCCAGGCCGCCATGCCTGTAACCCTTCCCTAGGATCAATCGGGGATCACCAGTGGACCTCTGACAATGCGAACCTCTTGTCAGTTTTGCTAGGTTAAAGTAGCGAGGGTTTCTGGGTTTAGGGAATTTTCAGTGTGTTTTGACTCGAGCTTGATAAGAGGTTGGCCTGATAAGGGGCCGTAGGAACACGCCCTAACCCTAACTGTTTGTACCCCATATAGCATGTCCCACTAGAGGCTATAACATTTGACAGATTGGTATTTCATTAAGAGAACGCATTTTAAAAAACAGAGCCGGGAAACAATAAATAAACAGATATGGTGAAGTGCTAGGAAAAAAATAAACAAATCAAATAATGAACAAATCAAATAATGCTTCTACCAATCGGATTTCCAGCATTCTGCTTGCTTGCCTGCCCAGGTGATGCTCGTGGCAAACAGAGTGCCCTCATGCTCCTCTAGAAGTGTGAATGAGAAGATGATGCCTCACCGCAGCTTGAAAAGATGATGCCTCACAGCTGCTTGAGAAGATGATGCCTCACAGCTGCTTGTGAAGGTGATGGATCATCGCAAAAAGGGTCCCCTCGTGTTCATTCCACTCCCCCCCATTCCCCCCCACCCCTCCACAGCTCAAATCTTCCACCCGCTCCCCTCCTTCCCCTCCTCCCACCCCTCCCACCTCCATCCCATACCCCAATTCCGCTCCCTCCTTCGCCCCACTAGGCCTAGATCTCTCCCCACTCCCTCCATTCCCCCCCACGAGCCCTGCCACAGCCAGCAAAGCAGCCGTGTCCTCATCTGCCACCAGGGGAACGTCCACGTCAGCAGCGCGAAACCCTAAACACGCTGAGCTGAATGCAGCAGTAGTGGCCCCGGGAATGGCTGGATTATGGTGGTTTCGGGTGAGGCCAGTGGCACGGGTGTTAGCAGCAAAGCCAGTGGGGAATCCGGCATTGAAGTTGGTACTGTCTCGTGAGTTATAGGCAGCATCAAGGCTCGGATTTACTGTAGTTGTAGCGGCAGCAGCAGCGGAGAAAACACCTGAAAATGCACCTGAGCTGGCGTGGCCACTGCCGATTGCGAAGCCATCGAAACTCATGGGGTTACCAACAGAAGCAGAAGGGGCAGGGGCAGAGGAAGCAGCGGCAGCCGATGCAGCAGCAGCGAAAATCATCATCTCATTTCTGTCTTCAGTTGGGGAAAATTACCCACCGCGCAATCTCCGCCGCCCAGCCTTGCTTCTCCGGGCAGCCCGAAAAAACCCTCAATCGATGGCACAGCTTGCACAGGTGCAGGGGGAAATGCCCCCCTTTCCCGACCTGGCGCGGGCGGAGCATGGGCTCCGCTCGCGTATTCCGGTGCAGGGGCGGAAGAAATGCGCGGCCAGCTTCCCCCAATCGCGGTCCCAGTGTCTGTCCCCGCGAGTCCTGTCCCCTGATAGCTGCTCGCGCCAGGAAACGCGCCCGCGGCGTTGAGCCGTAACTCTGCTCGCGCTGCTGCTGCTGCTGCGGCGGCGGCGGGGGCGGAAGCGGAAGCGGAAGCGGCCGCGGACGCGCCTTCCTCTAAGAAACCGCGAGCGTCGCGAACGTCGCGAGTGTCGCGAGCGAAGCCTGTTTGCGGAGACGCTACTACTTGCGCCGCAGGTCCTCCCGCGGAAACCCCTCCTCCCGAGGCGGAAAGCCCCGCCGCCGCCTCCGCGGAAAACCCCCCCGCCTGTTGTATCGCGCGGAGTATCTCCGCCATGTCGCGGCTGTAGCGCCCCGCGGCTATTTGCCGCAAACGCGCGTTTTCACCCTGGAGGATCATCAGCGCCTGTTCCATCTCCTGAAGCCGTTGGTCCGCGGCGCGTTTCTCCGCCGCCATGGAATTCACCTGCGCCTCGAGCTCCACGAACCGCTCGTGCTGTCGCTGCCGCGACCGCTTCGCGTATTCGCGGTTTAGAAGTCGGCGCTTTATCGAGCGCTCCTCCTCGGTTTCCTGCTGTATCCCGCCGGCGGCGGCTTGCAGCGTCGCCGCCACCTCGCGCGCTTCGATGCCGCCGCCGCGCGGCGCGCTGTCGGAATTCACGCCGCCGCCGCCGTTGCGTTCGTGCGGCGCCGAAGCGCACCGCTGCAGCGCCGAGCGATCTTGCGCTGTTTTGCCTTCCGAGCCAGATCCCGAGCCTGAGCTGCTGGTTCGTTGGAGCCACGCGCTTAGGGTTTGCGCACCGTGGCTGTCCGGCCAGCGCTGCTTTTGCGTGTGAGTGGTAGTTAAAGGGATATTAAACGCTGGCGGCGACGCGTCGCCACGCTGCGCGCGGAAACTCCCGCCGCCGGCGGAACTGCCTCCGCGGGAACTCCCCGCGCTAGAAGGACGCACTAGCGGCGCGCCGAAGCGGTTTTGGCGGAAAAAACCCGTCGCCGACGGAGACACAATCATATCCCCCGTGGAATGTACGCTTGGGTTGTCCCAAGGGCTTCCAGCGTCATTTTGAAGATGGGCCTGATATCCCGCCGCGAAACGCGGCGCCGTCGGAGCTTCTCCAATAAAAAATTCTGCCGGATCGCGCGCTGCCGCCGGGAGAGGCGGCTTCGGCGCCGACTCAACATTCGATGAGGAGGGTTTGTCAATCTTGATTCGCGAAATGACGGCAGCGACTGCTGACTCAAATTCTTCCGAATGGCTGTTGCGATGGCGCTGGTGCTGTAGTTGTTGCTGTTGCTGCTGCTGTTGCGCCAAAGCCGGCGCCGGTTGCGGCGGTTCGACTTCTGACCCAGATTGCCACGACATTTCTCGCTCGGGGTTCGCCACTACGAGAATCTCGCCGACTCTTCAAGCGTACTCGAGTTGAAGCCAGTTAGTTACACTATCAACAGCTCTCAAGAAAATCTCATGAAAGGAGGGATATGTGGTTACACAAATAAAAAGCTTTCGTGGTTGAGCAGTGAAAGCAAGGGAGTGTCTGTTGTGACGATTTGGAAAATCTACGTTCGCGAGGGTCGCGGCAATGAACTATGAATATGTTCGCGGAGGGAACTGTAGGAGGTAGTTAGTTAATCCGTTGGATAGAGCCGAAATTCGCAATATGCTGGGAAGCCAGCTCACTGAAACCTCCTCCTGCACGAGCGGAAATTATGGCGTGCGGAGGCTAAAAGTATGCGCATTACAAAAAACCTGATTGTGACAGCCAGCTCACTTGCTTGGAATGGAACACCATGGCGTCTCCTCACATGGACGCTTGGAAATGGCATTCCCTGGATCGTGCTGGGGGAGGCTCTCTCCCTGGATCACGCGGAGAGTGGGCTCGGCTGTCCGCTTGCGCACTCTCACCCTCCCCTCCAGGATTCCCGCGCGCCCGAATCCGTTCGTCCGAACACTAGCGGTGAATGGAGAACCCCGCTTTTTTTGGGAACTTGTGTGTCACAGAACTTGGCATTGCGGCGCTGGCGTGGCGTGCGGTGCATCTAGTGGTTGCGCTTGGCGTGGACTTGGGATGGGAAGCGTAGGTAGGGCCAAATTAGTCAACCAGGGAGGGTGGGAAGGAGAGTGGTTCGGGGGACGAGATACACCTGCGTCCCGATATTTTTACACTCTAAAAAATCGCGCACGATGCTTTGTCCTCTCTGGGCTGTGTGAAGTTAGCAGTAGTTAACCTGTTTCGGTTAATTTCACGAGCGCTGACTCAGCGCGCGTGGAAAGTGAAATTGCCATGCTGACACAGTAGTGTGTGATGTTGAGGAACAATGAGAAGTTGAATAAAAAAACGGTCGAAGTTGAAAAATAGTGGAAAACAAATTCGAAAACATAAAAGCATCAGATTCACAGGTAGGTAAATTCAATTCTCATCACAACAAAACCAGAAATAGGAAACGCGAGCGTCTCTTCATGCCTAGTGCCAACGTTGTGAAATATAGGGTAACAAGGAGCACTACATGTTCAGTCCAGCATACGCGAACGCCATGTTATCATCTGAAAGAAGATCCATGAAGTTGTAGGTACCGGCGGCGCGATCTACGGCGGGACGAACATACCTCGCCATGGATGAGTCATTGGCGTACTCATTCAACGCCGTTGTGGCGGCGGCCGCTTCTACATTCGCCATACATGCCTCAGAGGGGGGTGCATCATTCAGATCGAAGGGAACATCACGATTACCGGGTAGGCCAACCCACCAATTCCGACCCACCTATACCAAGTTGTTGGCTAAGCGTGTAGAAGTGGCGACGTGGTCGTCACAACCAGCGAACTCCCGTGCGGTCGTCAAAGGGTCGTCAATCTTCAGCTTTTTCATTAATACATCCAGAGTTATAATGTCGGCCGCCTCGGGATCCCTTGAAGGTCCTTGTAAGATTCGTTCCAACCCCCACTCCTCCAACCATTGGTAAGGCACCATACCGGACCGCCAACAATACCGCCTTATTATCTCTCGACCCATAGTACTCCAAACTCCACATATCCACGTAATGACAAGCCTTAAATCTGGCCGAATCGACTTACGGGCCGCTTGATCACGTGTGCGCTTGAATTCATCAAGCAACCACGTGACCAAAATCTTCCGGTATCGCAATTTCGATCTTGCGATGATGCCTTGATCCAATGGTTGAACGTGGGAAGTGCAATTCGGGGGGTAGATAAATAATCTTCATGTTGTGAAGCTAGACAATCTTGATCTCGTCCCTCCAATACTCTCGCTTCCCCTAGATGTCGTTGACGGTGTGTGAGCTTGCGTTGTCCACTAGTATTTCAATCCTCCAGTCCTCGAATCTTATGTCGCCGTCCATTGCGTCCACCCATTGGGTGAATATCTAGTTACAACACAAAGACACAAATAAAGAAATAACGTCCTAAGTGAAGGCCTATTATAGCCATAATCCTTTAGGATCTTCGGAATGGCCTCCCTCGCGAGGCCAATGGATTCTGCATTAACATCCTTTGCCTCGCCCTTCCTCTGATAGGATGACATCCCCACTCGTGCGAGTGCGCGGCATAACCACCCGGGAGAAACCTTGAAGTCGCTAGGAAGACGCATAGCTTTCGCAAATGCCTCGATTTTTTAAAGGACGTAGAAGGTGATCGGTAAGTTTGCTGCAATGTGTCTAACTGCCCACGCATGCAGCCTGGCTTCAAGGGCGGGGAACTTGCCCTCACGGAGGCGTTTACGGTCCAGTGGGAGTAAAGAAGGGACTGTCTATTTGGCTGAATCTTTAAAGCGACGGTGCACATTTGCCACCCAAAACCCAGAACCCTGGCGAACTGTTACTGCAGATGAAAAGTGTCTGCACGAAATCCTGGTTTTCGCCAGCCAACACTTTCGCGCTGGCAAGCCTGGTTCAAAAAAAAAACTTCTGAACCCAACACTGCCAAAAGTTGCCCGTCGCTTTAAGAATCCTAAAAACCGTGGTACGACATTGGTGTTTTTTGAACTGCTTGAAGCACTATAACGCCAGCTCTTTCTGCGGTTCTTGTTTCTAACGCGAAACTCACATAAAGCGGCCTTCTCTACACGAGTTAGAGCTGTGTTTTTTCTAGAAGTCTTCATTTTGTTATGCTGGAAAGGCTGTTAGGAGGTGTGCTGATACTTGGGAGAAATTGCAGCCTCTGGTGTCGAATGTGTTTGTGCGAAAATTTCAACGTGCTGACGATGCGACCTACCCAGATAGAAATGCGAATGAGTTTTTGCATTCATAGCGTAACACGTCAGATTCATGCACTCGTCATTTTGGGTCAATTCGTGCATTTAACTGTGTGGTAGCGTTTCTGGCGTTTCGATTTTGCGAATGCGTTGTTGACACGTGATCAATAAATAATCCATGGATTGCCGATGTGGGTTGATGCACTGGAGCCGAAAACTTGTTTCGCGCCCAGTTCAATCGGTCAATACCCCCCTTGCCGACTCAGACACGCGTGCACTCCCTTGGTCGTTTTTTGGCCGCCCGAGGTCAGATTGCCCCACAAAAGGAAAAAATGCGTAAAGATAAGGGGTGTGGAAATATCGCAGTATTGGTGTAAAGGTAAGGGTTTAAAACTGGGGTACGCATTCATGATGGGGAACAGTAAATTCGGGGGTTTAGGCCAAATTTGGCCGTAATGTTGGATCAAGGGATAACCACTGATGCGTAACCAGGTGAATGTGCACCCCGGTTTTAAGGGGAAACCCCCTTTGGTATTACCCCGGCTGTCGATCGTAATCCCCCTACCCACTTACTTACACGCCTCGCTGGGTATCAAGGTCAGAAATATCCACTCCCAGATGAGCGAGGCGAAACCCCCTTCTGGGGGGCTGGCAGAACACCCTCGCCGGCACGGGGGTTTGAACTTGGAGCATCATCCTACGGAAGTCCCATCTACTTGACTAGGCCACTTTAGGATGGGGGTGGGGGATGAGGAAGGAATAAACCTTGGATTAAACTGGTTATTAATTAGGAATTCTGACGCATCTGCTACACCCTCGTAATTTGCATTCCAGTTTGGTGGATGCCAGTGATCTGTATTGGAACAACATGATCTCTCGAAGGCTTTGTGTCTCGGAAATTTTCAGGCACATTCATATGAAGCAATTACTATACACGATGCTCAACCCCTGCACGCGGATTTGCCTTTGACCTGATGGAAAGTATGCACCCGTGATTTTTGGACCGGCTAGTTGCACCCACATTATAAGCACTCCGTGCAAGTTGCAGTGATTCTGAATTAATAGTAACGAAGAGACTGAAGTCAAACTAAAGAGACCAAAGTCAAAATGTGAACGAACATTTGAAAATTTTTTTTAAAAGCCCTTTTTTGCTAGCTGCAGATTGACGAAACCTTTGCGAAATGCAAGAATCATTTAAGCACCCTCTTCACAAGGCAACAATGGGCAACGCAAACGAGAATCAGGTGTACACACAAATTCTTTGCCTACGTTGAAACGATGGTAACTGTGCCAAAATCCGGATGCATCACATCAGCCAATGGAGGACTCTGAAATCTTGGAGTCACTTCTCCGCCAAGGAGATTACGAAGGTGGGAATGCCTGTCGTTTGTCGAGCGCCAGCCTGTCATTTACCGTTGGACTGCCACTAGCGTCCATATCTTGTTCAAGCGCGGCCTTTCCGCTACTGTACGGTCTACAGAAAATGGACGCACCGTCAAGAAAATGATTTTAGGATGTTCTGGCACGTGATCCTTGACACCGAAACATCCGAGCGATGGCCTACGTACAGTACTGAAGTCTTGAGCACGCACGAGCAATGGATGACTTTCGGGCGCAGAAACCTTGCAAGAATACATGTTTTTTTTGCTGAATTGCTGGGCATCCCAGCTAAAAAAACATTGACTTGTCGTCGTGTTGAAATGACAAGGAATTTATTGCACCACTGTCGCGATACTGGAACCTAAAGACTTACGACATTTTTTACCTTCTAAGCTCATGTGTAAAAAATGCGAGGCTGTTCAAGTTCCCAATTGATATTTTCTTCAAGAACCTTGCAGGTCATTTTCTGTACACTACTGTATTGTACATCCATGTTTGCCAGGAGGAGATGATGGCCCTGAGGTGAGAACAGCCCCAATGAATGCAGATTTATTCGGAATCTCCAATGGATTCGATTACGATTCGTGGTGGAAGCTGTAGTGCGGTTAACAGTGACTTTTCACTGTTTCCAGCAAAGCACTCCACTGGACATACTGTAGTTTTTCCTTTTCATATTCCTCCTGGAGAACGTGAACTCTCTCTGACACGTCCTGTGGATATATTTTGGAAGTACGAATGGTTACAACCACAGTCGCAACTCAAAGCTAGCAATGCGTCT